AAAAAAAAAAAAAAAAAAAAAAGTGGAAAAAAGGAAGCGGAAGCCACAAAAAACAGCTCGTTCATGTCCGATTGTCATCCATGACGACAGATGAATTTGAAAATTTTAGCTCACCGCCAGATAAAAAATTTCGATGCATTCACAGTTGCATGTTAATTCAGAAATGACTGCTGCACGACAGTAAGGACATTTTTACCTGGTTGGTGGTAGGCGTTAATATTGACCAATGAGGCATAAATCCCAACCGCTCGCTCATAAAGTGCAATTAGAGCCCCAACAGATCTGGGTGTGACCTCTTGCACAGTGACTGTGATAGACTCACGGTCATTAGTATATAAAGCAGATCTTGTTCCCTGTATACCAAAAGTTCGAATGAAGTACAAAATAATATAGCACTACTTATTGATTAATTTATTATATCCATTACACTCAAGCACAAATTTCTGCAGAAGTACGAAATTTTTTGTACTTCTGAAATCTAAAAATAATATGCATCTCAATCCAATGTCTTGGTCTGAAAGGAAAGCCAGTTTTGATGAGAAAATCCAAAGAAGCCTTTTAAATTTTTGCAAGGATTAGCAAAGCGCCTTTTATTGTCAGGAAGAAATGTTGACCTGTAAAAATCCAAATAGGTAATCACCGCAGGTAACACCTGGCTCGAGCTCCCAATCATGACCAGGTGGCCTATCTCGTAGAACTTCAATGAAGGTCACAAAAAAGTTATGGACTCCATCTCTGAGCTGTTGAATGTAGCTGAGAGAGAGATTTTTCAGATAATTGCAGACAAATCTGAACGTGTGCTAAAATTTGAAGAAAATGAGATGGAACACATACGCGTGTTGATCAGTGCTTCCTTTGTTTCCATAAACAGTTATTCCTTGATTTACCTGCAAAATTAACAAAGATGGCTTTGAATATTAGCAGAAAATCACAGTAATTGAGGCTAAAGATAGACCCAGAAATTCACGAAAAGAATAGTTTCAAGGTATTTACATCTTTAGGTTGTTTCGCAGTCCCTATTAATATGGGCAACTTTAGAAAAAAATAGAGGCACAATGTAATAACATTAAATGGAGTATTCTATTTGCATAAGCAATTGTGTATATTAGTTAGACTGCATATTTCTACCACTGATCAGATGAAAATAAATCAGTGATGAATGTGCTAAAGTAAACACACAAGCATCATATAAGATGAGAAAGCAAGGAATAAAATATAAATATTAATTAGGGCATAAAAATAACATACTCAGGTAAATAAAAAACATAACTTCAAATTCAATTTCATTGGTGCTTAGTTTTTTATTTTATTTTTTTTTTCGACTAAAAAAATGCAGTTAGTAACACTAGTACGTACCCCGTGCAATGCACGGGACAAAGATATTAAATGAGTTATTTTCACAGTCTTGTCCGTTTAAGTCTAAAAGGTAATAATGTTATTATCTATTTTTTACCTCATTTAATCAACGTTAAGTCTAAAAAATTATTGTGCCGCCCTCTGGTAAATATGTATGGAGTTATGTGTTCGTGTCTCATAAGTCACAAACATTATGAATAACATTACAAATTATTCATTCAAACTTTTATTCATTGCAAATATATTAAAATAGTTTATATAACAGCCATTAAATACCACTTTCAATATATTTATAAATAAAAAGTACATAAAATTTTTGGTGGGTTCAAATTTAAATATTTTTTTTATGGGTTCAATTTTAAATCATCCAGACATTTAGTCAAACGCATAGGTATGTTCAAATTTAAATTATTGGCATTTTGGTCGGTTGAAATTTAAATCATCTACCATGGTACCGTGATGTGTATTATATATATATGTACAAATTTTTTAACAAAATAATAATAATTTCACAAGATTTTAAACGTAAAATTTAGTTTTTAATCACAATAGAAAAATTATGGTAAGTTGTATTGAAAAGGTGTTATGAGATAAAACAATTAACTAAAATAATTAAATAAAATACTTGATGGAAATAGAATGCATTAATTACCTTTGACTTTTCTTACTACTAATTCTAGTAAATAGAATGTTTTTTTATATAAGTATAGATTTTGCCAATTTATTCACGTGTCAAATTTATTCCTTTTTTTAGCCCATACAATATGTAATTAATTTACCAAACAATATGTAAATAAATCCATATAGATGCATTTACCTTTTTTTTATGGAATCAATTGATTTAATTAATTTAATTATTTCTTTTACGGAACGCTCACTCGGCAAGAGATTCCAAAGTCCGTATTGCAGAGATTATAATCGGAAAAAACATCTATTATATATAATAGAAAGTTTGTTAAGTTAATATTTATAGAGATTCTAATTTGAAGAAACATCTATTCCATATTTATAGAGATTCTAATTGGAAAAAATATATATTCTATATTACAATATGTAATTAATGAAAGTTATTAAGTTACTAATTTTAGACAATAATTAATGAATTTGGCGGGAAAAGATTACTAAAAGTGAATTAAGTTAATCCTTATTATATATTAATAGATGAATATATATAGCATACCCTATTACCATCCAGATCAAACTCTTTTCCAAGAGATTCCATGACTAGCTGCTGCAGATACCGACTAAACAATAACATACTGTCCTTGTATGGAAGGACAACCATATCCTGCACATACAAAAAACAAAATTCCATTTCTTTTGATAAAAGACACATTTCAAAGGTATGGCATAACAGTATCCATAAATACCATAATATATCTTAAGTAACTCAAACCTTGGATCCCACTCCATCAGTTGCCCAATACCAACACAAAGCTAGCAACGCCGCTGGATTATTTCTAACCTGAAAAAAGAAAAAAAAAAAAAAAAAAAAA